TCATCGTCATCATCATCAGCATCATCCACCTCATCCACCTTAATTCTTTTTCCTTATGAATAACTTCTCCCTGTCGCACCCCGAGGCAAATGTGTAGGGCGGGTCGGGCGCTTCGCCTCAGACTTCTTCACCACTTCTGACTCTGAAGCTTAAAAATTGGCAAGAGTTTCACGGATGGACGGCGGGCCGTTTTCAAAATGCGGCTCTCGCTTTTGCGCGGCGCACATTCGTTGTAAAGAATTGCAAGAGCTTCACGGATTGAGGGCGGGTCGTTTTCAAAATGTGGCTCTCGCTTCAGCGCGGCGCACACTCGTCTTAAAAATCCCACCGGCCCTCTGGGCGCAGGTGGTCTAATGATGTCTTTCTTTCTTAATATGAAAAGCAGTCTTTTCCTCCGGGTAATGGTTTATCACTGCTCCCTTCCAATAAACACACCCTCCCCCACCCGTCAGGAAGCCAACACAGAACCACGCGCACACCAAGAGGGCCCCCCCACCACCCCTGTCAAAAAACAATACAAAACGCACTCGGCCTCCAAATCCGAAGCATGCGCAACCAACCCGATGCAGGTCCCCCCGCACCATCCATGTCAAAAACCAATACACGGTACATTTTGGGGCAAAGTCTGGAGTCATGCTCGTGACGCCCACGGGCAATTTGTACTGTTTTGTTCGAAAGGGACGGCGGGGGTGTCAGCATATTGCCTGCTGCGCGCAGGGCTACCATCCCTGACAAAAACACAAAACAAAATGTACCTCACGGCTACATGTGGATAGTGCGCGGCCAACCCGCGATCATTGTCCACTGGTTTCTGTGAGGGACGGCGGGGGTGGTGGCGTATGGCCTGCTGTGCGCAGGCCCACCAGACACAATGATGGGCATTGGTTTTCGACATGGATGGTGGGGGCCGACATGTTTCCCGATGTGCTGTCACGTGCGCAAGCGCATTTGACACACTGTGCACGCGCCGAGGACTCAGCGCACCTGGCGCGGCTGGGAGGAGCATCTGGCGCACTAGGCGTGCCTGGCACGCTCGGGAAACAGGGGTGCCTGGCGCGCGTGGCGCGCCTGGCACGCGTGGCGCACCTCGCCCCAACGTCGCGCACATGGGTTCGGTGTTGGTTCCCAGCTGCTGCTCATCAAAAGACGACCGCGGAGCATGCCGAACTTCCGGTGTTACTTATGTGTCGGGAGGGCGGGTGGGAGCGAGCTAGACGGCTTGCTATCTGGAGGGTGTCTTGACCCCTCCCCCATACCCCCTCCCCTGGACCTGGACAGGAGGGGCCGCGATCGGTTGGAGCGTCCAATATCGGCCCCGTGGAGGGCCAGTTTTGACACCCATCACGAACATCGTGGCCCCCGATGGGGGGGGGGCCTCAATCGGGAAACGCCCTCCTTTGATCGATAGCCTCGAAGATAACCCCAAGAGGCGCTCCAGGGCTCCCAAGAGAGCCCCAAGAGAGCCCCAAGAGGGCTCCAAGAAGGCCCCAAGAGGAGAGGCCCCCAAGAGGCACCTGAGCGGTCTCAGAGAGACCAACATGACCTCCAAGATGGCTCAAATAGCCCAAGCTGGCTCAAGATGGCTCCCAAAATGCTCCAAGACCGTTCCAAGCCCGCTCCAAGAGCGCCCAAGAGTGCTCCAAGAGAGCCCCAAGAAGCGGCTCGCCGGCCCCTGAAGGGGGGAGCTTAGTTGGGGACCCCCCCATCCTGTAATCGATGGCCTCCAAAATAACCCCAAGAAGCCTTCCAGGGTCACCAAGAGGGTTCCCAGAGGGCCCAAAAAACTGCCAGTGAGCAGCAGCAGCAGCAGCAGCAGCAGCAGCAGCAGCAGCAGCCTCAAGAATACCTCTAGATGGTCCCACGGGTCCTCGTCCGCGTCGTCCTCATCCTAGTCCTCGTCCTCCTCGTTTTCGTCCTCATCCGCGCCCTCGTCCTCCTCGTCCTCCTCCACCTCCTCCTCCTCCTCCTCCTCCCTCTTCCCCTCGCCCCCACGCGGCACCCAGGGATAGCCCGAAGAGGCCTTCCAAGGCCACCCCCTTGCTCGCTTCGTTTCCCTAGATGTGTCTCGTCGTCCCTTTTCCCGTCAGCTCTGAAGCGCAGGGTTTCTGAATGGGCTGGCGGGGATACTTTTTTGTTCGCAAGCGCCACGGTCCGACCGAGCGCCGAAAGTAACAAGGCAGCCGATCCAAGCACCAACTTAACCACAAGCAACGGGAGCTAGCTACGCAGCAGCTCAGGGGGCGAGGAAGACGGAGAACCACAGGAAGAACACGTTGATGGCCAGTACGAGCACGCCAAAGTCGTGGAAGACCAAGAAGCAGTGGTACCGCGTGCGGCGCCAAAATGGCGAAGTAATTGATGCCCAGACCATCAACGGCCACGACCATGCCCACGAGGAAAACGAAGTCCACGAACGCGAAGTCGAAGGGGGCGAACGCGCAGGCGCTCGACGGTAGACCCGGATCGCCAGAGGAGGGGTAGCAAGGAGGAGCGGCGGCCCAGGCAACACCGACAGTGAAAAGCTTGTGGGGATACTTTTTTGTTAACAGCCGATTGCGAGCGCGCCAACGGCGAGTAAAGTCCGAGCGGGCCGCGCGGGGGCCTAATTACCGAACGCGAAGCAGAGCAGGACCTACCGCCGAAGCCTCAGCGCCGGGGCACCAAGGGGAGCTGGGGGGGGGGGGGGCTGCGAGCTGCCGGGGCTGCCAGGGGGCTGCAAGCGGCGAGTTGACCAACCGCGGTTGGGACGCAGCCAAAGTGGCGCGGCGCTCTGCCAGGGTGCGACCAGGGAGGAGCCAGCCGGTACACGGGGGAGACAGCCAGGGGTGTCCGACAGGGCCCAAACTGGTGCACTGGGTGGCGCCACCAAAGTCGCACACCGACCCCGGAGAGGAGCACTGATCCTGCTAGCGTCCGGCCACGGAAGACGCCGGACACGGGCGAGGCAGCCAGGGGAACTACCGGACCAGCTGGTGGGGATACGCGAAGCGAAGAAATTGCAAGAGCTTCACGGATTGAGGGCGGGTCGTTTTCAAAGCGTGGCTCTCCTTAGCGCGGCGCACATTCGTTTTAAAAATGTGCAAGAGCTTCACGGACTGAGGGCGGGTGGTTTTCAAAATGTGGCTCTGGCTTTCGCGAGGCGCACATTCCTTTTTAACAATGCAAGCGCTTCACGAATCGAGGGCGTTTGTTTTCAAAATGTTGTTCTCGCCTCAGCGCGGCGCACATTCGTTCACGATGTTTGCAATAGTTTCACGGATTCCCATCATCAACGTACCAGAAATGGTGTTCTCAAAGGGATCCAGATTACGCGGGCGCCACAATTACGTTGGTTGGCTGTGTTGATGTCCCGGGAATGGCGTTCTATCACGGTTCATGACCGTCAACACGCAATAGTCAGGTTGATCCGTGGCGTTGGAATCCCAGAACAATGTTTTGGCATGCTTCAGGGTCCTCAAACGGTTGCCTTCTAACGAGGCAGTTCCCTCAATGGAAATGATCCGTTGGCCTATGAAGGGGGAGCTTGGAGGGTGGGCGTATTCCAACATATTTGATGACTCTTGGGTTTACGAAAGTCCTCCTCCTCCTCCTCCTCCTCCTCCTCCTCCTCCTCCTCCTCTTCCTCCGCCTCCTCCTCCTGTCCCCATGTCCTCCCTCTCCTCCTCCTCCTCCTCCTCCTCCTCCGTAGCCATTTTGGCTCAAGCCATTTTGGCTAAAGCCGTGTTCCCCGTTTTCACCGCCGCCTTTTCGCCCATGGTCGGCGACTCGGCGGCGGCAGCGGCGGGCGCGTCTTGGACGGCTGCGGGGGGCTGCCGGCCGATGTGGCGGCCCAGCGTACTGAGGATC